CAAAACTATATTTAATAGGCAATAAATTATGAAACATCACAGCATTATCTCCTAATTTGATTTGGTTGTCAAATCACAATTTAATATTTAATATTGCAATCACACTGATGAATACACACTGGGAATATTGTCCTGGTGTAAATGTGGCAGGTTATCTAATCAGGAGATGATGGCGTGTCATTTCATCACAAATAAATACAAGTGTACCTGCAAAGTCCGTTAATAATTCCAATCACATCCACATCAAATAAAAGACCCATTGTTTTTTTGTTTTTTATTTCTTGAGTTCCTCACAAAGTTCCTCACTACACTCAAGTAATTAACTTAGCAGCAGGTGTGGTGGTCCACACAACATAAAAGATGTCAAAAACATCATCCCAGAGAACATATTCCACACATTGTTTGGAAACATGGCCATACAGCCAGCCACACACAGGCTCACCACAAATGGAAGAGAGGCCGAGGGTAAAAGGTGTTTTCACAATGGAAGGCAAATACAAACAGCAGCTAAATAGTGTTACAGTTCTACATTGCCAACATTCAAGCCCCGCCCCTCTTGGGACTGAGAGCTAGTTTGTACCTGAACTTAATCAAGTTCTGCCATTTGGAATCAGCTCAGCCCAAAATAAATTTCGAGTGGATGAGACAAACAAAGGCTTCAGTGGGGTAGCTGCCATAGTAGACAAAGTCCTGGTGTTCGGGAAAACCAAATAAGAGCACGACAAGCACGGCCTTCACGACAGGCAGGAGCCCATACCAGTGGTCTCTGTAGATGTAGCCCTCTTAAATGCATAATATTCATTATTTAAAGGAAAACCAAGCAGATTTTATTTGGAGTTTATCAAGTAAGGTAGCTCTCAGTCTCCTGCTTTAGACTTTGCCAACTTGCAGCTCCCCTGCACTGTCTAAGATGTAAAGACACACCTTTCCAAAGGACAACTGAATGTGATGCTGCCTTTGAGTTTCTGAAAAGGGTGCTCTTATCTGCCCTGGCCCACAGCATCCTTCATGGATGCATTGGTGGCCTTGTTGGCTCATGACAGGGATGGACCGGAGTGTGTAGTGGTGTATCCGAGTCAGTCACTCACTCAAACTTAAAGGTGCTGGTCCACGTTTAATAAAGACCTATGGGCTGTGGTGTGGGACGTACGCCAGTTCAGACACTACATTGGATCAGCTGCATTCGCCATTACAACAGATCAAAAGCCTCAGCTGTGCATCGGCAGCATGTCTGTTGACAAGAATCCCACAGGAAAAAGAGCTAGATGGATACACTATATAATCCCAGATCAGATGGGATTGTTGAATACTTGAATTGGATGATTATCTGAAACGTGTCCCTATCGGTCACATTTGTTCATGCCTGCATCAACTACACCCCTTTCTATTTGACTCAGGAAGGGAAGCCAGGGTCTCGGTGGATGTTTTGGTGCCATCTCAAATAGTGTGTTCGGACTTAGCTATTTCTCATGTTGACTTTGTAGCCTCTCTCGTGGTGAGTCTGGAGATTGCTTTCAGTGGCACAAGGCCGTGTGGGGCCACTGCCCACGAGACAAAAACTGTACTGTACCATATGTAATGGGGATCTGGTATGGTTGCATAATCAACTTGCTCTCCACTGGAAGGGTCCCTACAAGGTTCTGGTTGTGTTGGACTCACTTATCATACTGGCGATCTTTTGCCACTATGTGAGGGGATATGCATAATGTTGTTTACTGCTGAAATGTTTTTTTTTTTGTGTGTTCTGTTGGCACGTGGCTACTGATGTTTACATGTTTCTTTATTGCATTTTTTTACTGTTACTGTTTGGAAACGACAATGTTTCTTTTTGGAGGGGGGAGGTATGTAAGCAATTTTATCGAGTTACCTTTTGACAAAATGCTCCTCCCTCTTAAACACTTTTAACAGATTATGGGCTTTTATTGTGAAGTATGATCTGAAAACACAAAACAAAAACACGTGTAAGAGAAGACAATAAAGAAAAAAACAAGTTTTTAATAATATCTTCGTAACATTGTGAAGATATAACCCAGAATGCTTTTAGTTTTCAAACATTTTTGTGTTAAACTGCTGCAATGAACACGACCGTGCTGTCAGGTGGACTGAGCACACTAGAGAAACCACACACACACAGCCTCCCACCCCAATTAACCCAACACACCTTCACCACTTACACACATGGATTGTGTAAATTAGTAAGTCTGGAAATAAAGCCGGTGAGAGCTTTACACTCCATATCCTCATTATTACTCCTAATCATAATGCAGGCCAATCGTAACAAATCAGACATCTCCATCTTTAAATGATATCCCAGGGTGGTGGATACCACTGATTGACGTGATCATTTTGGCATGGTGTGAAGTAATCAGTAAACATAAAAATCCTACAGTGACTCTTGTGCGTAATGCTGCATGATAGATAACGCTGGCACTGAGGAAGACAACACGAATGGAAGGATTAGGGGGAACAAGCGTTCAGGGACCACGAAGATTTCCTGGCCCATGAGGACAGGCTAATATGCAGATTTAGATTCCCTAGAGCAGTGCATTTGACAGAACAATGTTTAATGTTTACCTTTCTGCCTAAAGGCCCTTTGGGTAATAATAGAATTCTGTTAAACTCGCTGCATTACATTTATTCATTTAGCCGACGCTTTTATCCAAAGCGACTTACAATTGCTATACATACACATCGCACGCCTCTGGAGCAACTAGGGGTTAAATGTCTTCCTCAGGGACACATTGGTGTCTCACGGTGGATTTGAACCCGGGTCTCTCACACCAAAGGTGAGGAGTTATCCACTGTCCCATCACCAACCATCACATCTTTTTTTGGTGTACAGCATTTTCGGTTTTTATGTGCACGTACACACTTTTAGTATGCATGTATGGATCCTGTGCACCATTTATAATTGAGGCCCCTGGTCTGTAAATTATTCTGACCTACCTGACTGTGGCAAGCTAAAGATTTTATTCTGCAGATGAATGTTGGATCACAGTAGAGAATCACCATGGTACCTTTCTGCGGCTCTCTGGACACATTGCTACAAGATTATAGAAGCACTTTTTCCATCTTATCACAGTCAAAAGCTAACCTCAAAATACCTGCTGGTTACCCAGTTTGGCCCATTTGTCAGTATTTCTGAACTATATTTACTTTCTTCAGACCCAACCGACTCTGTTGGTTCAAATGTGAATTTAAAACAGCAGCTCTGATTTATGAAGTAAAGGGAAACTAGGAAAGTGCACTTCTTGTCTAAGGGGATCCAAAAACTTCTAAACCAACGCCTACATCAAATGAGCAAGAAGCACAGACCAGTACTAAGCAAAATCATGAGCTTGCTTCAAAGTAGTATGCAAATCCAAAACAGGCCTTCAAAGATCCCAAACTGAAGTGGAAGCTCCAAGAATATTTGGCAAATCAAATATTTCAAACCCCACTTAAGCAGCTTAATTATCTATTAAGTGAGGGCCATTGTGGCAGAATTAAGATCAGCTTTTACAAACTTTTTTTTTCTTTTAATAACAGAATTAACCTTTCAGCATGTTTTTAGTTGAGGAAAGATTATTTATTTTACACAAATAACTTGGCATATTTTGTCAGCACCCCCTACAAAAGAGTGGAATTGTTCAATCTGAACAACACTGATGAATTGGTTAAATTACATAAAAAAAATTTTTAAATGATGTGGTGATGAGAGACAAACGGGAGTAAAAAAGCTTACATCTTCAGGTAGATGTTTAAGTGCATTTAATACATAGATGAAACAGGAGTCAATTGAAGGTCAATGAAAACGACATTAAAGAAACAGACAAAAGTAGAAAAAACAAGAGAAAGAATTGCAAGAGAAAAAAGAAAACGGGTATAAAATGTATTCATCAAGAATAAATATGTACACTGATGCAACATCCCTTCTTAAACATATACACAGATATATGGACACAGTAAAAATATATTTTAAAAGGCGGACCAACAGGGAAGAAGCGTGCTTTTATTCTTCTCGAATACCATAAACATTAAAATAGAAGCTTTATAAAAGCCGGAAGCTATCATAAGTTTGCATTTAGAACGTGGGTTAATTATAATATTATTATATCAGGTAAAATTAGGTCTACCCCCTACAATAAAACAACGTCAGTTATTAGAATGGGTTTCTCACCAAGCATGTTAACTAAAAAAGTCACAACACAGTAAAGGGCAAGAGAGGTCAACTGTGTAACTTAGTACATAAATAATACACACAAAGAACTTGGCAAACTGCATATGTTAAACAGAAATACCTCAAATTACATGATATTATACTCTGTGAAATAAAACGAGCATCCAGGGACATTGGGGACAGCGGAGTGTCCATTTAAACCAGAGGGACAGACATAATGTTTATTAGTTAGTGTTAACCCTTCACTGAAAAATGCCAACTAGGAAGGTGAACAGGCAATGTATAAACACAAAATGTAACAAGTGTCTGGTAAAGTACATTAACAAAATGCAATCATGGCAAGAACCCATTAACAATTGCAGAGCATCCTTCATTTTTAAGGGTAAGGCAAACCTTACCTGGACCTGGGGTCACATAGCTGTAGCCCCTAGCACGGTGCAGTACCATTCCAGTTAGCTCCTAGTCTTAATAGAAGTATTGTACTTGTTTGGCAAGACGCACCAAACTGCCTTGTGACATCAAGAATGGTATTACACTTTTCTTTCTCAGCAACACAGACACATTTTACTTGGGCCCCTGTATCAGTAGCTGGACAATGCTGACACTGCAACAAATCCTATTGAAGTATGTTCATAGCTTCAGTGCATTTTTCAAATACGGCTAACGCCATTTCTTCTGTATTTGGAAGGTCTGTGCAGAGCCCCAGCATGTACACAATAGTTAGTTTGCTTCTAGGTAGCTTCAACATTATACACATACACTTGTCCAGTCAGATCTTGCCGTTAGCAGCAGTCAAGACAAAGGAGGTGAAAAGATGGGCCGACCCCTGCTGGTGCTTCCAAGCAGCGGCGTCTCAGAAGAGATGGGTGGTCGAACGACTGAATGTGTGGTACTTCCTCTCAAACGCGGAATGCAGGCTGACCATGGAGGGGGAATGGTGTGCCTGTAAATAGAAAAGAACGAACAAGAAAAAAATGTGAAAGAGGACGGGGATAGAAAAACCTAAGATAGTGCATTAATACCCACTTTTGTTGTTAAAAGATCACTCTGGTTTAAATGTTTTTGGCTATTCTCCATGTCAGTGATCAACAAACGAACAAAAAAAACACTGGTCTCTCCAAGTTAATTGCTGAGATCCAGGAACACTATGCCGTCACTATCCAGTCCAGTGGGGCGAGAAACATGAGCAGTCAGACGATCAGAAAGGGTAAACCATTGGCATTAATGTGTATCTGGGTACTATTAGACAGAAATGTACGTAACAGTGTAATAACAGGCAAAAAACAATGGGTAGTAATGGGGTACTATCAGTCAAGTCAAATACGGTAATTACCATATTATAATGCTGAAGTTTAACCTCCCTTATGTTCCAAACCCTCCCTGGGCAGCAAAATGCTAAACTACCCATTACAATTTAATTTCATGGTAAAGAGCCATAATGATGACCTGGAAACACCTGTGATAACTTCTGTCCATTCATGTTTATATTCTATACAGCAAAATGTAGAGTGACGTATATCCTACTGTCAGCTCTACTTGTATATATTGTTAACAGTATTTAGTTTTTGTATATAGTGTTTCTGATCATTTCGATAATCACCTCAGTGTGAATTTTTATTTCTTTTTTGGTATACTGAGTTACTAACTGTTTTCTAAGACAGATTAGCCGACGTCAGATTGCTATAGCACTCTCCTCAGCAAGACAGAATACACAAGTTACTTCCAAAATGTAAGTTACTTCCAAAAAAAGAGCCAAAGTGACATTAACGTTAGATAGCTAAGCTGATAACATTACTACACTGAGTGATTATCGAAATGATCAGAAACACTATAAACAAAACAAACTGTAAATACTAATAACAATGTGTACAAAGCTAACTGTTAAAGTGAAGAAACTTTGCGTGAGTACGATAAAGCACCGTAACGCGGTCACTAAGGTTGGAGGAGAAAGTAAAGTTACTGTAGAGTTGACAGGAAGTAAACATAGACGCAGGTTGTAAGTCAAATATACGTCACAACTAGCGCTAGTAGAGAATATTACCATTCAAATTAAATAGAAACAGGTAGTTTACTATTATAATAATTTCTGGAACATAAGGGAGGGCGACTTTCAGCATTATAATATGGTAATTACTGATTTGACTGTCAAGAATTTCATGTGATTTTGGTGGTATTACACTATTCATTATTTTTTGTTTTACCTCCCAATAAAGTGCTTTAGATCATCTGGCTGAACCTGTCTGACTGACTGTATGTGTTCCCACCAGACTTTGTTGGAGCAATGTTGCTTCGTTTCCAGATCTCAGCATTTATGTTTTTAATTTGGTTAGTACAATGTTAGAATAACTGAAAGTTATAATAATAGTTAGTAGTTTTAATAAACTAAAAGATCCTTTAAATAACCTTGAACGACACCCAAGTAGTTAGCAGAAGGACATGGTATTACTTTTTGGAACAAGAAAGCAAGCGTGCTTCTCTACTCAGTATCCCAACTCCTTTTCAATGTGCACTTTTAAAACCCTGCAAGATGTAAGTTGTCAGATGAGAGTTAGTACTCAATTAGCAGGGCCACACAATATTAAAAAATAATAATAATCATACTGCAAATAACCATTATCAACTATGGGTTACTAGGGGTTGTACCAGAACAGGTTTACATGGTTTCATACTGCACATTGCTGCAGCTCCTCTTTTCACCCTGTGTGTTTGAAGGCTTCATTTAGCTATAGAGTGATACATCTTGTCTCTACATGATCTTTGGTGGGAGTTGTGCAGTTTCTAGTTAACCTCTTAACATTCCTGTAAAATTCCTGTTAAATTTCATTCCAATACCATGAAAAATAACTATTTTACACAGGTTTTTCTGAGTGTATATCTTAGCGTATTTTTTCTAAAACAGCACCGCCCCTTGGCGGCAGGCGGCTGCTACATCGCTCCGTATCAGCCGGTAGCTCGACACAGATGTATTTTTTGCTGGTAGTTCATGAACTTCCTATTTAAAGCTGGATATCGTTATTTTCAGAATTTCATTGGCTACATGAAGTGCTGGTCATTGGCACAATTGCAACTGGCTCGGCCTACCCATGAAATAATAAGGGCTGGCCCTTCCTTACAGCGCGGGCTCTCGTTGACTATTGAAGGCTGTGAAAGGGACATGTGAGCTCTTATTTGGTCGGATTTGGTGTCACACGAAAGGTCAGAGTTCAGCAGCTAATTTGAATACAAGCTATCGTAGTTGTTTACATTCAAAAGAGTTATTACGGTTATAATGACATACGAGCCACGTCTGCCGGCAAATATGAAACGATGCGGCAGCAGTCCCCGGGGATTTATGTACGGAATAATTTATTTGGACTAAATGTTTTTATTGGATTGGATCGTCTGGACCTTGACAACGTAACAAGACCATTTTTTGGAATACAATCGATTGGTGGATTACTATGAGGCTTCATAAGTGAGTCGCGTCAATTTCGCTTACACTGGGTGGTCTGACAGAGGCGCTGATTGTACCCGCTGTGGTGATTGTATCTTGAAATGGTTTGCATTGGTCAAAGTAGTATGAAGTTAACATATCAGCTGTGTGCACATACGGAAAGCTGCCGCCAGGACCTGACGGCCTGTAACGAAAGTATCTTTCATCCATAAAGTTTTAACTGAGCTCTGTCTCTACATCACAGGAACAACTTCATGTCCACTGACTGCCTGGAGGGCAGCTAGTGTTTGGAAGGGAGAGGAGAGCTGTGTGCTGCAGCTCACTGCTTTTCCACCGCTGTTTCTGAGGGCGTGTCGGAGTTGCCGCTTGGCGAGTGTTATGAGGCGCGTTTAGCTTTCCTTTATCCCTGTGACGTCACAGGTCTCTGTCTCAGTGTTGGTTTAAATAAGGTGTGGTCGGGCATTGCGCCATTGACCCCCAAAAAACTGGTCTAAAGTTCCATGTGCAGTATTTCACTGTTTTCTGTTATTTTAGGGGTGCATTACTGCGATGGTAAGACAGAAGCTGTGCGCATTTCCGTACGAGGCAAAGAAGCATAACTTCATTGATTATTTAAATGTAATGACACGGTAACAGGATCGGTCAGTGTCTAATGTTAATTCATGTTCTGTGTTCTTCTACACATCCAAACGGTCTCACACACAGTCCAGGTTCACACAGTGAAAGTGTTTGGAGTAAATCAGCTGTGGTCGGATCAATCCTGAGCTCCATCAGAGCGTCTAAATTATTTCAGACCTAAAAGTTGAATACTGTTTCCTCTGCTGTCCTGTCAAGTTTATAACTACTGTTTGTTTGTTTTTACTTTACTGCACACATGGAAACATTTAAAATGACTGACAGCAGCCTCTCTAATCATGAAAGTAAATTGTAAAAAATAAATAAATAAATACAGCGATGAAACACAAAATAAAGAAACCAGTGTAGGGGAGAGATGTAACCAATGACCTGTTCATCATAGTTTATAACAACACAGCGCAGTGAGGATCCAGATGTTTCATAGAGGACACTGCGTCTGCCTGTTAACAGACTGCAGTTCCGACACTTCATTGATAAACCACAGAGCTGCAGAGTAACTTTGGGCTTCATGATCAGACACGGTTTTTACATCACGTCCACACTTCTGTCCACATCCCCCTCTCTGCTGTGAGTCTGCCATTCAATCAGTCAACTATATAATGCATCAAGGTAGAAGCGCACCTGGCTTTTAAAGGGAATGGGAGACACTTGGTGTCTAGCATGTTACACACAATACACACCCATGACTAATTCACAGAGGTACATTTTGAACCATGTGCCTCGCACACTGACCATTTCTTCCACATTTAAACTAGCAAAATTGGAGTTAGACACGCCCAAACTGCGCTGTGCACTTAGATTGTAAAAGAGGACCCATAGTTTCTTGTTGTACAGATATACCTTCAACACATCTACACAGGAAAAGGGGGTTTCAACCCCCTATTTTCTTTACAATTGGTTACTTATGTTCAGTTACCGAACAACTTAAACAGGGTAGGGTGAATACATCAGACACTTTTATTCAAAAAGCATGTGAACAGCAGAATAACAAACAGGATTATTGTAGGATAAACAAACACACCTACTTAGTGCACAGAAACAAACGCTGTTACCAGCGCCTCTCTGCCTTTAAGCCAAGCTGTGGCACTGAAGTAATCGAGACAGGCGACCTTTGCAAAACACACTCACTCTCACACACAGAGTTCTTTCTACAAGCATTTCGGCAGAGTGTGCATGGAAATGTCTTTGACATTCACTCAAACACACACAGTTCGTCCTTGATCTAGAGATATACTGCCAGTGAACAAATTAAGAGGGGCTGATGACAGCACTCGCACCCGAGCCTTTTACCTGCTTACTGGGCTGTAAATCAAACCTGAAGGAGTGGCACCAGCTTCAGTCTATGACAGCAGCGTGAAAATGCCATGTGAGAAGTAAGGTAAGTAGTCTTCATTCAGCCACTCTGCCCAGTGTTGGCCAGATACGGCATCATTACAGCAGTATCAGCAGGACAGCACTTAAGTTAGGCTGCTTCTAACATCAAGGAGATGTTGTGCACACCAACCACCACCAGGCACCATTTGTGAGCGCCTGGCCCATGAGAACACCTTTGGAATCCCCACCTTCTGTACAAGGTTAATAGTCCTACATTAATGTTAAAAAGGCCAGCAATGCATGGAACCTTCCACCCCCTATCTTCAAGTGGTACTTTCCGCCCCCCTCTTAGAGTGGTATGTTCCGTCTCCCCAGTGCAGTTCACAAGATAATGGAGAGATCTGAGAGTTCTAATTAAGTTGCAAACGAGTGTTAATGCCTTAGTTCAATGGACCACACTACAGTCAGAAACAAACCACACACACACACACACCCACCCCAATTTGGCAATAAAGCAGTCTTAACTGGAAATTCTGGACTATTTTGTGACTTGCAGCAAC